ATATTGATTAGTGAGAAATAATTTAATGGCATTTTAATTGATATTTTTAATTCCCTAGCTGGGAAGGTGCAGTGATAATGAGGACTTCCATTTGATATTTTATTTTATTAATATTCAATACTTGGGATTGGTCTTAAAAAACTAAATGAAATGCTCCTCAATTGCATAGGTCCTCAATTGAATCCCCACTTTTAATTTATTTATTCAATGCTACAAAATTTTAAAATTAAATATGGTTATAATTATAATTATTTGCTTGCCCTAGATGAATCAAAGCTTTCTTAATTTCAAGGGACAAGGCAGATGCATATGCAAAAAGGTAAACCGGATAAAATAATATTATGGATACACGGTAGAAGATAATTCTCGGTTAAAATTTCATTAGATTGGCGAAATTTTTTCTGATTGAGTGGACTCGAATTGAGATTCTGTACACTCGATGTTTTTATAGAAAGTGAGAAAATCAATTAAAAAATACCGAATTGTCACTTTATACATTTCTTTTTTCACAAATATCATGCTAAAAATTGAAATGTCCAAGAATCAGTAATTGAATTGATCATGTGAAAACCAGGTTTTGACCTCCTTTTTCCTAAAGGCACTGAAAGAGAAACATAAAGATGATGGTTTCTTCAACACTTTTCATGCCAAAGTTCTAGAAAACTCACAACTCATATTCTTCTTTTATATTAATAGAAATAAATCTCACAAATTTTAACAAAATTATTAAAATTTCATGTATTTATTAAAAAAAATATTTATTCTATTTTTTTTTAATCTCAATTTCACAAAATTTAATATAAGTAAATCAATTTTTCTTGTTTTGTAAATGAATTACACAAACTCCCTGTAATTGGTAGGCTTTGTTCAACGAAATTTTGCTACAAACAAAAGCAACATACATAAAACTCATCCGACAACATAAAAAAAACCTCATATGTAATGGAAAAATGAATCCATATAAAGATAATAATGAAATTATTAATACAAAATGTAAAGTATATATATGATCCTCAGAAGGATAATATCAGATGAATCAAATGACAATAACATAAACCTCTCTCTCCCTCACATAGTACATATAAGTATCATAATGTATAAATAATCAAAAACCCACATATATTATATATATATCAGATCTCCAAGCAGAAAAGGAACCATCTTTAGTGCTTGAGAAGAGCAAACACAGACAAGAGCAGAGAAGAGCAGATCACAGCTCCAGACATTCCCAGAGAGTAAGCTGCACTATTAGGAGGTGCTGCTGGAGACAAATCTTGAGCTGAAACAGCAGAAGCAGCAGCAAGAACAGCTACCAAGAAAACAATTGCCAAGGAATTGAATGTAACAGAAGCCATTATAACAAGATTATATGAAAGAAAAGAGACAATTCTCGATTCTTGATTTAAAGAAAAGAAAGATTTTAAAGAAAGAAAGAAGCAAGAAAGTTTCAAAAATATTTAGATTCTTGATTTTCTTGAAATGAGAAGTGATGAGAAGGAAAGAGATCTAAATGGGTATATATAGCAAAAGAAACCGCGTTGTAAAGTTTGAAGAGTTTTTTGTTTGAAAAATTAGATAATTAATGATAAAAAGACCAATCACAATTTGGTTCTTGGCTGATTTTTCCATTCGAAGCTACAACTAATCGATTTAATTAAGAATTGTTTAATTTTTTTCAAAGAAAGTTAGTTGATTTTGCGTATTTCATTTTTCTATTTAACTCCATATATTTAGAATTATATTTTTTTAAAAAAAATTGAGACCATTATAAAATGGACGTATCAGACGATAAAAAAAAATTAATAAATGGCCTAAGAATTGACTTATGATATAATTTAATTGATAAATTATAAATTATTTAATGACGTTTTAACTAATGATAAAAAAATTAATTCATAGTTTTCTTTATTTGATTTATAATTATTTAATCCTTGGAATTGGTCTATGCTTTGATTTTTATACTTTTCTGGTTGTTTGGTACTTCCTTCAATATCTATCTTTTTTTTTTTTTTTTTACCAGAGTCCGGTTCCAAAATGGAATCAAAACGGTCAAAATCGAAATTGAACCGTGATCAACGGTTTAAGATTTTAAACTGTAATTGAAACCGGTGGTTTAAGGTTCGATTGGGGTTCGTTATATTTGGAAAATAAAATTGGCGATTTCGATTTAAAACCGTTAAAAAATATATATATATCACACTTTACACATGATTTTTAATTATTAAATTAATTTTATTTTTCATTATTAAATGCAGTAACTATATCATCATCTTAAAATTTATTAATATAAATATAATTTATAATTATAAGTTGAATAGAGCAAAAAAAATGCTCCTCAATTTAAAATATTTTTAATTTAAATCTTTTACCCACTAATATATATTTTTTTACATATAAATTAAACAATATTTATTAAAAATTTATTTTGACTCTTAAATAAAATAAGAAGACATTTTTCTCCTTTACAACGGTAAACAATGGCAATTTGAAGGGTATTTTTTGAAATAAAAAATTTATATTGTAATTTTTTTAACTCTTTAATTTAGATAGAAAGACATTTTGCCCTTTTATAACAGTAAAAAAACGGCTACTTAAAGGGTATATTGTCCTTTATAACGGTAAAAAAAGGAAAAATTTGAAGAGTATTTTGATGAATAAAAATTTATATTTTAACTATAAATACATTAATAATCTTCCTTTTTTCACAATATCAAT